TGAGCTAAGATAACCTCTGAAAGGACGCCTGTCTGTTTAATGACACAGGGTTTATATGCAGAGGGCATCTTTCATTAGGATGCTTGGTAGGAGTTGAGGAGAGGGTGTGGAGGTCAAATAAGACTTTCCTGAATTACACAGCAGAAAGAGCAAAACTGAAGGAAGACCTATTTGCCTGAAAGCTTGGCTGATAAAAGATGCTGTGTTTCTTGTAGTCCTTGCCCCTCTCAAAGTCTTTAGTCACCTCATTAAATTATAGACTAGGTTGCTCAGAGACCCATCCAATCTGACCTTGAATATTTCCAGGAATGGGGTGTCTGCCATTTCTCTGGGTAACCTGTTCCAGTGTTTCACCAATCTCATTGTGAAAAATGTATTCCTTATGTCCAGTCTAAATCTACACCATTTTAGTTTCAATGTATAAGTAAAAAAAAATAAAAATCCCCGAACACTTCAACGTGTTTCACCAATCTCATTGTGAAAAATGTATTCCTTATGTCCAGACTAAATCTACACTATTTTAGTTGCAATATATAAGTAAAAAAAAAAAAAAATAAAAATCCCAAAACACTTCAATTTGCAGATTTCAGAATAAATTTTCAATGCAGAGAGATTTAATATCAGTTTAGTGTTAAATGGAGTAAATTTGAATCTGGAAGCCCCTGGATAAAAAAAGAAAGAAAAAAGGGGCAGTAGGTTTATAATAGACAAGTTACGGCATAAAACAGTGAAAAAGGATTTGTGACCAATCATTGTAGTAAGAACATTTCCTGGTTTGGTAGTATTCATGTATGTTTCCTTTAGCCAATCGCAGAATGGTTGGGCTTGGAAGGGACCTCTGCAGGTCAAGTATGGCCACCCATGGCCAATTACCCAGAAGCACATTCAGACAGCCCCTAGGATGTTTGAGATAATAAAATAATAAGTAAGAATCATTTTACTTTAAAAAAAAAATAAAATATCCAATCATGGAACTAGAAAGTGTTCTATGAGGGCACTGACCACACATTTAATGACTATTTGAAGGAACTGTCACAGTTTGTCAGGAATTATGGTAGGGATTTCTTCAAAAATCAAAAAATCCAGCCTTATCCAAATAATTATATTTTAAACTACATATGTACATGAAAGATGTCTGCCAGATGATCTATCAGATATTAATCCAGCACAACTCTAATACACTGAATAAAGTCTACATATTTTGACATTGGTCCATTATTGCTCCAATTTACTAGAACAGCCTTCCACATCTACCACTGATCTATTTTCATTAAATTTCAGTAATGAGTAATTAGTTGCCATTCTTAAAAATTTAAATGACATGTGAAAAATTTGCTATCTTTCTAAATGAAATATGAAAAATTTGCTTTCTACATCATCTACAGGATTAATATGATACTGTGGCCATAGAAAACATGAATTGATTCATGTAGGTTAAGAGTATGCTACATTCTGTTTAATTGGTCCAGAAATCTAGATTGAATTAATGAGTACAAATACTTCCTCTTTGGCAGGGAATTTGTTTCACCAAATGTCATGTCTGTTCTTGGAGAAAATGAAGTTTCATTCAGAAGTTGAAATTTATTACATGGGTATTACAGCAGGATTCTGGGTTTTGTTTTTGTTATGTTCTTTGAGCAAATAAAACATTAGCTGAGCTTCCATTATTCCTCTTGCATAAGCAGTTATAAAGTAATAAAAAAAAATCAAACTAGATCATGTGAAAACAAGAGATTGTTTGTCTGGCAGCTTGACTGCTCAGTAGTCAAATATTCAAGAACTTTATACCAAAGACATTGAGTAAGAAGTACCTGGACAGACAGAAGGCCAGGCTGCAACAACAAACTTGCCCGTCCCTTTCATAAATACGTACACAGCAGATGCTACAACAGAGGAAAGAAGGAAAAGGAGCTGCTGGTTTCAGTGGACCACCTGTGACACAGCCTCCAAGAAAAGGAGAAGCAGGCACAGGAAGAGGGTAACAGGAGATTTTTAAAAACAAGTAACTTGGTAGACAGCTGCAATTTTACACTGAGACCAGACCAGAACAAGCTGGTGAAGTAAAATTCCCCTGTACTCTGCTAAGTACAAACTCTTGAAGTTTATTGTATTTGCTATATCATCCTAGTGCAGCCAAGAAAGACAAATTATTCCACTATATTGTCACAGAATGACAGAACAACTCCACTACTGCCTTTATCAAATTTCAGAGCCGAGCAGACCATGCTTTTATGATTGCCGTTTCATCAACAAATTATGCGGACTTCCAAGCATATGGAGAGTGGGTTTCTTCAACTGAACATCATGACAAAATACATTCTTCCAACATTCTTCCAATGTTTTGAACCTACATAGTACACCCATCCTCAGCAGCACAGCCTCTAGCACGTGCCAGGACAGATGTGAGACTGACTGCTGTCCTGTTCTCTACCTGTGTCAACAGGAAAACTAATTGCCAGAGACTGCATTTAAATTCACTGTAGTGAAATTTGGGACTCAGTCAGAAGTCTTTCAATAAACTTATATGTCCTGACATAAAGAGGCAGTCAGATTAGGTGGCATGGTAGTCCCATCTAGTTGTAAACCGTGAAACCTAAAACTTGAGCATTCCCATTAAGCTCGTCAACCTCACATTCAGCCATTCTTGTTATAAGTCAAATAAATAATGCATACAGGACATAAATGCCAAGAGAGGAAGTTCATGGCTTCAGATCAGATTACACAGTAGCATGAAACTTCAATTATACAGTCTTCCATTTCACCACACAGAAAGCATTAGCCTCTGTGACATTTTCACTGAATCCCTATGCAATGTTAACAAAATAATTAAATAGCTATATTGCTCAGATTACTCCTTTTGGAAATCAGTTCTGGTAACACACTATAATTTTTGCTTTTCTTATGGTTTTTCAAAGCTTATTTACTGTAGTTCTGGCAGTGCCACTCCACAAAAAATTGAAGAATAGCTAAGAAAATCAGGCTTCATGTGATTGACAAAACTGTGCATTAAGAAAGGAAAGACAAACACTGGTCTGGTTTTCTGAAGTACTGCAAGAAAGAATTAGAAATTAGTACTGGATTCAAACTGAAGTTGTAGACTTCAGATTTAAATTTCCACTGCCCTTGACACAATTGCCTGCCCCTACTAAAAAGATCTTGTAGAAAAACTGATTTGTAGAATATGTCACACTGTTAGAAAATGGAGCTGTGAGATTTAAGAATCATTTTTGTCTCTTACATTTTTTAAAAGTGTAGGAGTGATAACACCTGTTAGCAAGCATCAGTGAAAAAGCAGGAAGGTGCAGTTTTCTACTCATGCTGATTTCAGCCTAGGCACACCTCTGAAAAAGGAGGGAATCAATCAGAGGTGTTGTGATAGTTTAATACATTTTTATTTTCCCAGCAGCAAGCATCATGGGAAAGAGAAGCAAATTTTATGTCAGGATCAATGGCAAGGTGAACATGAGCCAGCAGTGCCCTGGCAGCCAGGAGGGACAACCCTGTCCTGGGGAGCATCAGTCACAGCATCACCAGCTGGGCAAGGGAGGGGATTGTCCTGCTCTGCTCTGAGCTGGGGCAGCCTCCTCTTGAATATTGTGTGCAGTTTTGGGTGCCACAATGTGAGACATTAAATTGTTAGAGAGCATCCAAAAGATGGCCATGAGGATGGTGATGGAACTAGAAGGGAAGCTGTGTGAGGAGGGTCTGAGGTCACCTGGTTACCTCAGGAGGGTAAGCAGAGGGGCAGACACTGATCTCCTCAGTCTTGTGACCAGTGACAGGACTCAAGGGAATGGTATGAAGCATCAGGGGAAGTTTAGGTAAAGTAGCAGGGAAAGGTTTTTCACCCAGAGTTGGCTGGGCACAGGAACAGGCTCCCCAGGGAAGTGGTCACAGCATCATGCTTGGCTGACTTCAAGAAGCATTTGCACAATGCTCTCAGACACAGGGTGTGATTGTTGGGGTGCCCTGTGCAGGGCCAGGAGTTGGACTCAATGACACTGATGGGTCCCTTCCAACTCAGTATATTTCATGATTCTATAAAGCTTTACTAGGATGCTATATAAAGCTAAAGCATAAAGATAATGCAAATATTATTTAGATACACTAAACTAGATAGAGAAGTATAAAATTGTTGTGTTAGAATGGCAGACAGTCCAGTTACAGGTCGTCTTCAATTCCGGGCATCTGTCAGAATGGATGTCAAGTATCCCTGCAGTGCAAGACTATGTAGAGTACATTAAGTGCAGACTCCCTAACCCAGGGTCTTTATCCTCCTGTGTACTTTGAGAAAGGTACAAAGGATGTCAGTTTGTGTAGTGGAGAAAAGCAAACAGAAAAGACACCTCTTAATTTACACTGGGAAAAGATAGCCTTATATACCATCAGATTTGCCTCTTCCTAGTAAGAGAGCACTGTGAATATCAGAGCAGCTGAAGTTGCTTTTTATCCAACAGTTATATTTTGCATCAGTTTCCCACAATTTAGTGTGCATTCAATAAGACACTTAGAGGCTATTTATTTTTCCGAGTTCCACACAGAAACCCTCTCTTTAACAACTGTTGTTCAGAAATGCCCAAGTTAAATACATCCACTTGTCTAACTTACAGTATTTATTGCAGAGAGCAAATAAATGAAGATGATTTTTCCTGTATTCCCTAAGTCTGCTTTAATTCTTTAGGAAGAAACAGAGTATTATATTGCCAAACAATTCTGAGCCTCGGCAATAACTGTAAGTTCAAGTACTGAGCCTGGCAAAACACCATTGTCTTTTTAAAACACTTAGTAACAATCGTGCAATGTTTATAAAGTGGTGAAAGTGCCTAGATTTTAGTGAAATTCTGTTCCTGCCATAGTTCACAAAATTTCATTACCTCTTTTCTCTGTGAACCATTTCCACACTTGGTCTAACCTTGCAGTGATCAATGATAGTTCACATCTAACTCCAGCACTCCAGTTGTCCTAAGAAATTCATCAAAGCTACAAACTACTGACCTTACCCTAAACCCATCTGATTGCAGGCCAGTTGGCTTAGGTTTTCTTGCCACTCATCAGCACAAACATGGTTATCAGCAGCTGACCTGTGAACGGTCAGGAGCATCAAGGAATTCCTGTTTTTAGACAGTGTAACTGGAAAGAAAAAAGGAAGAAAACTTCAGTATTATTTCAAATAGTTTTATAGACGGAAAACTGAAAACATACAACTACATTCAAGATTCTTCCAAGTTGCTGGCACTTTTCCTAGCTTTACATGCTGAATAGCTATGCAATTTTAAATCAAGGCAAGTGTGGTTATCAGAACCTTGCTAAGAGTGAACAGCATGAGACACTGAACAGCAAAGGCATTGAGAGGGTAAGAATAAACCCAAATATTTCTAATTCACCAGTACAGATTCACATGGGTTGCTGATAGCTTTAGTTTGTATAGCCTTAATCTAGTTAGATAATCTAGATAGAAAGACCATCACCATTTCTTCTCTCCTAATCTGTACATAAAAATTCAGGAACTGCTTTTATCACATGCAAATAAGATTCTCAAAAGGTCCTTCCAAATCTCAGCATCTTCTCAATCTCTCCTCTGTCCACAATACTTTCCAGATTACACACATTATCTACACATTTTCTTGCTGTATCACTTTTGTTATGTCTCTGCACTATAACACTTCACACTAAGCTTTTTCTTTCTCTTTTGCCCATTCCTTGCATGCTTTCCCAAACTCAACCCAGTCTTTTCTTTGCTTATAGAGGGAGCACCTCTCCACCACTGTATTCTGAATTAAATCACCAGTGAATGCTACCATCACCCAAACAGCACTTTGAGGCACTGCAGAGCAGACACTTACCACAGTCCCATTCATCTGAGCTGTCAGTGCAGTCTGCCTGCCCATCACACCAGAGTTCACGGGGCACACACTCATGGTTGGCACACTCAAGTTCACTCTCGTCACAAAATGCTGCAAAGACAAAAACAGGCTTCCTCCTGAGAAAGACATGATCAAAGTGAAATTCACATTGAGATGAAAAAGAGAGGAGGATGAAGGTAGATACAGATCACATTTATGGAAAAAGTAAGTGAGGCAGATTTGCAACACAATTCAGCATGGATACCACTGATGCAGAAGGTGGTTGCTGCCATGCAGTGACAGAGGGCATTGCAATTCAGTGGGAAGGAAGAGTGTCTACAAATGCAAGATCTGTGATTACTTAGTATCATTTGTGATCTTGTAATATGAAACCTGTCTAAGCCCCTCAGAAGGTGTAAGAGAAAATACTGTTCTGTGCTTTTTAGCTGACTGATCCAAATTTGTTTAGTTCATCATGGTTTTTGAAAAAATTATTTTACCACAATGAATATCCATTTCCTCTCATCCACAGCAATTATATATTAATTTTTGAATTCACCTTTGCTTTTGAAAATTATGTATTTATTTTTATCTCCACTCTAGAGGTAGAGAAGTGCTGTACTGACAGACATATTCCAGTTCACAGCTGGTGTCCTTACATATGGATTTCCAGACTCTGTTCAGTATGGGAACCACAAGGGCTTCCATTTGCAAATGACCTTTAGTCTTCCCCCAACAACCTCCCTTCCAAAAGGCAGGTGTGTAGAAGCACAGTACCTCCCTCACTAACACAATTCCAGTTTCTATAAACCCCGTCATTAGGGAAGTCTGAGACCTGGGGGAGGGCAGAGAGGGAGAGAATGCATGGAAGGGAGCTGCATTCAGTTGTGCCCTTGTTTGGCTGATGTACAGCGCTTTTACTGCCATACAATCCAAGCACTTACTTGCAACACTAGTACAAAAAGTGTATTCCACGGTGAAAACCATACAGATAGAGCAGGCAGTGCTGCCTACCCCTGATCCTTCTAGCTCTGGAATAAAGCATGCAAAACCAGAAAAAGCACTTTAACTCCACCTTCCAGAGAGAGCATAATTCAAAAACTGGAAACCCTCAGCTGGGAAAACTTTGCTGCCATTTTAGACTATTCAAGCCCCAAATCAAAAGCAGAGATGAAATATGCCCTGATAATTATAAACTAGCTTAACCTTAGCTCTTTGGCAATCTTTTCTCTGTCATGATCCTAATGTGTGATCACAAGTAAGTCACTTCAATACCACCTCCACTCTTCAGGTTACAGCACAAAGCTTGGAAGTTGTATAAATAATCTTTACAATAAAAAGCAGATTAAGAAATGTTTTGTGAGCTTCAGCTTCCCTAAAAGAAACAAAGTTTGATCCAGCGATACACACAGACCACGGTTCATTTTGGCAAACATATTCAAGGCTTCACTTAGCACATAAAATGCTCCTACCAACAGAATTCCAGAGACTCAGGAGCAACTTCTTTTAAATCACAAAATTATATCCAAATATCCCAGCAAAAATGCCAAAATAGCAAGTTTACTCAGAGAAAAGTTTTCAACCAACTTTACCAACCAATGATCCCTCCTTTTTTGTGCAGACTTTCTCCCAGTATGTCTTTTCTAATTCCTTGTCTTGGGAGCATGCCCACACACCAGGTTTTCTCCAGAGAAGACAATTCATAGTGCCACTAATATATCAATCAAAGTTGAGCTAACATCCCAAGGCACTCCCAGCTTAGTATGCAGGGTGGGAGCCTGCAAAGCAGCTGCTGTGTGCAGATGTTCCACCACTTCCCATCCCATTCTCAGACGGAAACTGAGGGCAGCCCCCACAGGGAGCAGGGGACTGCTGCTCCCTGCCAGCACTTTGAACAGACTTGCACTGTGCACATGGACCAGCTGCTGTGTGCAGATGTTCCACCACTTCCCATCCCATTCTCAGATGGAAACAGTGGGAATAGAACTGAGGGTAGCCCCCACAGGGAGCAGGGGGCTGCTGCTCCCTGCCAGCACTTTAAACAGACTTGCACTGTGCACATGGACTCTGTGCCCATGCCACCAGAGCACCCTCCTAAGCTCTGCGTCTTCATTGTTATCACAGTTTGGATTGTAGAATAAATCTGTGGAGCCAAGTAGGGACACAGAATCTAAGAAATGCCAATTAGGAAAGAAAATAAACAAGGACGTTTACCAAAAAACAGATCAGAAGTAAAATGAAGTAGAAATCAAGGAAAAAATGACTATCAGCTATCAGCTATGCATGTATGAAATGAAGTTGAGGAAACTTGGGAAAAGAAGTCAAAAATCTACAAGGAATAAAATTACAAAGGCACAAGAACAAGGAGGGAAAAAGAGAAAAGAAAAAAAAAAACAAAAGAAAAAGAAAAAGAGGATGAGAGTGACCAAACAGACAGCAAGGATCCAAGGATGTGAACAACAAAGGACACAGGATGAGGAAAGAGAGAAATTGGTGCCACAGACCAACTGAAAAGGGAACTGAGGGAATGACTAAGTCTTTCTGCCTATAGAGAGCATAAAACATTTTTACTTTGATTTATTTTGGACCCCAACATCCCAAAAATGTGATCAACCTTTTAAGGGAGTAACAAACTGCATGAGTCCTTACAGCAATTCTTTTCATCCATCATGTCAGGGCAGTCTGGGAAACCATCACAGATCATGGTGTGCTTGATGCACAGCTTCTTCAAAGGACACTCCCAAAGACCTCTTTCTCTACAACCTGCAGGCAGAGAAGCACACTTCTGAAATACTTGTATGCAATATTGAATCAACTGTTTTCTTCCTTAAAAGTACTGAAACACACAAAATATCTTCACTTGCAATATAAATTTTAGAAGGTACCAAGAATAGTTACCAGTGAAGAAATGGAAATAAGATTGGCACAGCGTACAATGATAAATGGATCTAAATATTATAACACTTCACAATATTTCTGTGCTTTTGAAATAATAATTGTATTATGAGTGTATACTATACATATCTATAATGGTTTAGGCATTAGCTCAATTAGCTCAAAACCCATACACCACTATTCCTGAACTACATTTACTAGTAATATAAGAACTTTTATAATTCTGCAGTCTGTAGAAATTGCTCGGTCTTTCAAAAGCAAATCCTATAAAAGCATGGAATCTCCATGAAACACTGCAGAAATACATACTTTTTTTTCTGGCAGTGCTGATGCAGAATCACAGTGAAAGGTATAAAGAGAAGTAATACAAAATTATGTCAAAGTGCTTTGACAGAAAAATTTCTGTTGGTCAGCTAGAGGAAATTAAGAATAGGCCAACCTATTCCACTTTTTATTTCCATCAATTAATAAAATATTTTATTGTGATATCAGTTTAAATACTTTGACATACTAATGACCTGCATGACTGATGCTCTGGTTTTATAGGAAGCCATAAATATTACATGTTGTCCTGACTAAGCCAGATTATTTGATTGCCTTGTTTGGCCCGTTATACAGATGATACTTTTCATTTTAATCTAAGGGAAAATTCAATTTCTAGCCCTGATGTTCATACATGTAAATAGTTCAGGTATAAATTTAAAAACAGTATTTAAACCAGCACCTCTCTTTGCCTGGACCTGGAACTGGGAAAGCGTATCAGCAGTAAGTTACTAAGCAAATGCACTGTTTCCAAGAAATTTTAATTCTGAAGTATATATTTTACAAATATGAACCAGAGAATCCCTACTGGATTAATGGAAAAAATCTACTCAAGTTTTACCTGTACCTGGATGTGTGGGGTGCTTGATTTTGTTTAGATTTGAAAAAAACATGTAAATAAATGTTAAAGCCCAGAGAAATAACAAGCCTTAACCTTTGAAACAAATTCCTCATGATCAAATAACTTTCTTGGGTATCACCACTTTCCAGGTCTCCTTCTTGAGAATATTTGTGATAACTATTAATGAAAAAATAATTGAAAAAAAAAATCTCTACTTTTATATAGAACAAGGAATGCCATGTTAGGATCTTGATATGAACATGAAATAAAAAGAGCTTAAACTCCCCATAATTTATGAACCTGTCAATTTTTAGCAGTGTTTACAATTCATTAAATACATTTCCTTTTCTCTTCTTCACACATTACAGTGTTACATTGTGAAGTGTACCAGGACTCTCCAAAACTAATCACATAGACAGAGACAATTCCCTATGAAAAATTCACTAGTTACTGAATTCAGTGCTCAAGTACAATGCTTTGTTGGTAGAGATCATCTACCATTTGGAGTATTTATATTTCATCTCTAATTATTTTTGTGACATGCATTTTTAATTCAATGAAAGGGAAGTGAAAACAGAGCTAGGAAAACTTGTCAATATGTACATTACCCCATCTCAAAAATACATTTTGACAAGAGATACGGTTTCATATATGATCTTACCTTCATAACATGAAGGAAGCTACCAATTGTTATCCATATAGACATTTCCCACACAATTACCATTAAATCATTAACGTCAAGACCACCACATTTTTTTTCTCACCTAAAACACTACAGGTAAAAACCCAGATTGCAGAAAATAGTGAAAGACAGTATTGGCTATGAATGTTATGTCCTCAATTTCTTTAGCAGGTGTAGGACCCTCTTCTGCTCCCTGCCAGAGGCATAGTTCAGCAGCCAGCAATTTAATGCATTCAATTACAACCAACTATACTTAATACCACAAACTCTTGTGACATCTTTCATAATATTTTTTTGAAATTACCTTCACTACACTTTATCACACCCTGAAGTCTCACTTCCAGTAATCTCAGCCAGATTTTCTCCCCAAATCCCAGTGTAGATGGCACTAAAGTCTGAGGATTTCACTGCAATTGCTTGACTGAGAGGTCCTCTCACAAAGCCCACGTGAAAGTATGGCAGGCATTGCTGACAGAAGACAGTGGCTGCTGAATACAGCTCTGCTCTGCATGGGGAGAGCAACCTCAGTCCCTTTGCATGGTTCTAACTTACATTTTTTGGCAGAGTAGTCTAATCATAAGAAAGCTGCAGCCAGTCTTTTTCAGCCTCCTTCTGCCTGAACTGTAAAGCTGTTCCATGTCTATCATTTAAAGCACTTCAAATACAAGGGTTTCAAATTAAACATTCAGTGGTTTTTTAATGCTAGAAAACCAATTTAAAAGGATAAAGCTAATAAAATTTGAGCTGTCCATTTACACATGGAAAGAGCATCAAGTTTTGATTTTGTCCTGCACACATGGAATATGAATAAGTTAGAGACAGTTACTCCTGGAGCTCTACAAGGACTTTTTGTTCTTCAGTAACAGTATTAGCCCTGGTCAATGTAATGTCACCCTGACAGCAGTAATTTCCTAGCTGATACAGTCTTCCATATTTATAGACTCTGATAAGAATTCTGCTGATTGCTTGTGACATTCTGTCTAGACTTTACAGAGATCCACTCGAGAAATGAATGTTACATATCAGAACAATATTTCATATGTTAATGTCTAGGAGAATAAAATTATCCTAAAAGACACATAACAATTCGTTTTCTAAGGAGTTCAAAATTGGTGGCAACAAAAAAATATTTGGCAGGGAGGACAATTGAGACAATTGATTCAAAGTAAAGAGATTTCAAACTCTGAAAAAATCACCATGATCATCAGTTCTGACTTTCCTTTATAACCCAAACAAGAGAATGACCTAATATTAAATCACATTTCAGAGAGCATATCTTTTTTTTTTTTTCCTTTCTTTCTTTTTTACATGGGTGGGGGAAGGGAAAGAAATAAAGAAAGAATAGAGAGTACAAGAATGATCTGGAAATTCCCAGAGACTGAGAATACATCACACACTACAGGTAAATAAACCCTTGGCTACTGCAAACATTAAAACAATCTGCTTTTTAAAAATAAGCATTTTATAGGGCTGCCAAGACTGAACTTTAGCTTAGCTTTAGCTTTCTGGTGTTAGATTTTATTTTACTGTCTCTGAGTAGAAATTCTCTTATTGCCACAGTTTTGTTGTTCACATAAACTCTGCTTCCCTCTTAACCCATTCTCAGTTAAAAAACAACCACACAGGTTGTGCACCTTAATCCTAATCTGCTGCAATGTTTCCCAATCCTTTGCTCATAAGCACACCTCTTCTCTAAATCCTTAGTGATGTATGATTATTCTCTTTGCCCCGAGGGATGCCAGGCCTGCATGCAGACCTCCCTGAAGGCTACAGCTTAGTCAATTAATAAATATTTAAAACTCCTTTCTCCTTCTGAAACTGTCCTGCCAGCATAGAAAGATACGCAGTGACCAATAGATTTCTTGATTATTTCAGGCTTAATATATCCCCTTAAGTTAAAAGTCAAAAGCATCTATACTAAAAGTAAACTCAGAAACATATTGGAGAATAATCTCTGAGGGTTTATGCTTGTACTCGTAACTTGAGGTTGACCAATCTGTAAAAAACATGCAGAATCCACTTCAGCAACACAATATATCATAATGACATCTTTTGAGTACATATCCTAACGAGAACATTATAATGTATAAATTTAAAATTACATTTACAGATTCAAGATTTAATCTGCCAGGAAGTTAGCCCAGTAAAGCCTTCAGCAATATGAAATTAAATTTGTGAAATTTTTTTAGCTTGATTCTTTAAGGAATACTCAAACATCCCACAGTATGATTATCAGAATCTAAATGACCAGTTATGACAAATTGTATTCATGTTGATTAAGAAGGATTCTTGCTCTAGTATTTTTACTGATACTGTCTTAAAAAAAACCCCAATCCTTTTAAATATAAAAAAAGGGTGTTCTCCTTCTCTGAACTCTCATGCTGCCAATTCAAATTAATGAAAAACAAAGCTAATTTTCCCGTGCTGCAGCTGCCCTCCATTCCAGCCCATTGCATCTGTTTACCACAGCTGTCCTCGTCACTGTCATCCTCGCAGTCAGCCTGGCCGTCGCACCTCCGGGACGCCAGGACGCACCGCCCCGAGCGGCACTTGAAGTGACTGGGTGAGCACTCTGCAAGGACACACAACAGCGACAAACAGCGCTCGTCACATAACAGCTTCAACACGACATGGGCACTGATTTGTCACCCAGGCTGCTTCAGAAGGATAAATAACACGGATAGAAGGCTTGTGAGACTGGAAAGACGCATCAGATGAGACTCTTCATAACTGCACCAGGAACGTGGTGGAGCAACATTTTCCAGAGCTCTCCCTTCCATGCTGCCCTCTGTCAAATGTCACTGCTTTGCCAAATCACTGGCATGCAATGTTTACACCGTGGGTATGAATTTCCTAGCTACTCTTCTATTATTATGCATTGAAATAAATATAAGAAATCCCCAGGATAAAAAAAAAAAAAAAAAAAAAAAAAAAAAAAAAATTAAAAATTTTTGGTTGAAAAAAAAAGAGATTGACAATTATGTGTCTATTTCAACTAATGAAAACCAGGTATAACTTTCCACTAATTGACCCTTTCACTGCTTCTGCCTCATCTCACAGTACCATTTTGGGACAAAGGAGTGGAACAGAGTTGGCAGATCTTTAAGGAACTCTTTCGTTGAGTGCTAGCAATTCCCTGGAGCAAGAAATCCAGCAAAGAATTCTGCCAAGAGACGGCATGGCTGAGTAGAGGAACTCAGTCTGGAATAATTTCCACAGCTTAAATATTATAATTTAAAGGAAAAGTATGAAAAAAACAAACACCAGTGACTTTGAGAACCCATTTAAATCTTTTATTTGCTGTAATATGTGTAGGAGGTACCTTCTACATCTTCATCTGGTGTTAGACAGGTTTGGTTGTCCGAGTTCTCATCTGGAAACTGAGTGCAGTCTGTATCTTCTGGCCACTGCAGACCTACAATCCCAAGCACAGCCTCACAGCGCTCCTTAGACTGTACACACAATGTCCTGAGGAGACAAAGCAGAATTGCACCAAATAACCAAATGAATGGCTTAGAAACTCACAGATACTACAGGTTAATAATCCTAGCCAAAGTTAAGCATGAAGATCAAGAAAAAAGTCAGTTAAACAGATGTTTTAATATGAAAAAATACATATATCAAAGAATGCTATGGTTGAAACATTACTTTAAGTTACTGTTGTGCAGTTATGTTATAAATAGGTTAATAATAACCAAATATAACTGCTCACAAACATGTTCTCCTCTGTAAGAGATGGCAGAGAATGATTTTTAAAAAGCTCTAACTGCTGTCCTTCAGGGAAAAAAACCAAACACATTTTGTATGAGTGAAATGCTACCTCTTTTGATTATGCTACCTCAGGAACCACATGGTTTCAGAAGGACAACATATTCAAGCCTGCAAACAAAAGAGTGAAGAACTCCCCAGGGAATTCAATAAAATTAAAACTTTAGGAAAAGCAAAGTCTTGAGGCTGTTCTCAGTTACAGCAACAGAATACCTTCTACATCTTCATCTGCTGTTAGACAAGTTTGGTTGGTTAAATTGGGAAAAGGCATGAATAAAGTCCTTCTGCAGCATTTTTTTAACCATATAAAAGATGGGACTCACTAAAAAATTTGTTCAATACATTGAGACTGAAAATCATCCATGGTGTCTCTTAAATTCCAAATGCTTCAAAATTACAAAGGTAAAAAGGCATAATAGAAAAATCCCCTAATGTTTGAAATATTTAGCAACTATTGCCTGGGATCCTAGTAGGTTGAAAAATATTCAACCAAAGGATCCCACCCTTTTTTTTTTTTTTTTTTTAATTTTATTTCAATTTATTTAGTGTCATTTTAATTTGCCTTTATGTATTTTGATTATCCCTTTTTTTTTTTTTTTTTTTTTTAAATTTTATTTCGATTTATTTAGTGCCATTTTAATTTGCCTTTATGTATTTTGATTATTTACACATCTTCCTTCTAGAGACAGTTCTTTCATGGAAGGCATCTTATTCCACTCATTTTCCTTTGACCTTTTTACAAATTGAATTTTTTTATTTTCTTGTAATTAGCGTTGGAAAATGCTGTGACCAAAACCAACAAAATAAATCTACACAGGATTAATTATTTTATGCTATTTTTGGAAAGTAATACAGTATTAATCCCTCCAAATTTAATTTTGTTTTGAGGAATTAGATGAAGAAAAGTCAATGTTTTTCCACACCAAACAATTCACCACTGAGTTGAGTAACCAGAGAGAAAGCATTGATGTCAGTCAACCAAGTTACAGACTCTCTCTTTCCTTTTACATCCTCCTCAATATCAAAAAGGTTGACTGACACCACTTTATAACCTCAGATTTCTGCACGCCAGAATTTTTGTTTTCCAATGACAAAAAACAAAACCCACAACAAAAGTATGCTAATATAGCAGAGACATCTAAGCCACTTCTGTCCTGTATTCTCTGCACACTCAGACCTTTGGTCAAAGCTGACCTTTTCCAAGGTATTGTAAGCCATTTATTTGTCTGTCTGTGGTGAAAGAATTAGAATCTATTTAAACATCAAAGTAGGCATGGACTAATATTATCAATGCCTTATCAGAGATGAAGAATAATGTTCAGAAATTGAAAACATACTTGATACATCAATGAATAATATAAATAACATTCAGTTCCTTCCAAAAAATCTCTTACTTGTGTTTTTTAATTTGAATAAAACTTTATGAAGACTGTTACAGTTAAACAAAGCATGACAGCCAAACTAACATAAAGACAACAAAAAGCCTTGCAAAGCAGGGACAGCTGCTTTATATAGGGGGAGTAGAATTAAAATAATTTAGTTATACCACTTGGAATGAGAAAACAGATCCATGTGCCTGTATTAAAAAAATCTAATGCGTCTCTGAAAGTTTATACTATAGTAGATCCAGAATTATAACATTATTGTGCAATTCATAGTTGGAAAGTACACTTTGACTTAAAAAGCGCAAACCTGAAAAACTGCATTAGCTGAGTTCAGTTTCATATTTACAGGAAAAGACAGGTAAAACAAGACTGTCCTGTTAAGCTCAATTAATCACTTATATATTTGAACAAGAGGGCAGTTATTTTGAAAGTCAGCAGCAGATTCTCAGAATATAATTTCTGTTCTGACAGTGTAACATTTTCTCTTCTCAGAGCTTCAAATTGTAAAGTAGATATACATTTATATTGAAATGTCAAATTTATTTAATTTTTATTGGTTTGAGCTTATTTTTGTTTTCATTTCTAAAACATTTTTAGGTTTTTACATTATACAGGTATCTGAAATTCTCTCTAAAATGTTATTGTTAAGCAGATACTACAGATTTAGTGACACCTACAAAACTGCCCCTTCCTGATAAAAAACATTCTGTATCTGTGACCTAACATAAGAGTGAAACCTAAAATCTATCAAAAAATTGGAGCTTTGAATCCTACGATTTAAAGTTTTATGTCGCATATTCAATTTGGTCTGATGTTACCCAGTTTTGAGCAGGAAGTTGGACCAGATGACTTCCAGAGGTTCCTATCAAATTTAATTGTTCTGTGCTTTCTATAAGTTCCCCTTCACCTGTATAATACTTTAAACTGGAAGACTATTCAACTGTATCATGACACTTCCTAAAATCTGTTAGCTAGATATGATGGTAGAAAGCCTATAATTTAACTTGCATCCCTCTATATTAGAATAAATGAATCCCATTTTTATTTATTTTACTGGTTTCTTTAAAAAAAAAAAAAAAAAAAAAAAACCACCAAAAAAACCCCCAACCCTTGATTTTCAAACTAGGAAGCCTGACACAGAGCTTACATAAACTCTCTTACAAAAACCCCTCTGTAACTTTGAAGCTATTCTGTATGCAATATTTTCTTTCCCACTAGGTTCCTATGTGAGAATTTAACAATATATTCATAAGCTTCCTTGTGGTTCACTCTTACCTTGCACTAAGAAGCAATCACTAGACAAAGAAATGTTATCTATTTGCCAACAGTATCACGTGATAAGAAATTTTAGGATGTGTACTGCAATTTTTCATGCACTTGTCTTTCAAACACAAGGTGTTAATTGATCAATATTGTCAAGGTAGGCCCAATGAAAGAGGCAGAAATACAGAATTGAGAGGGCTCTAGCAGCCAGTAGGTCAAAGGGCTCTCCTGTTGGTCAAGTTTATTAGATCTCCTAACATGCAACAGCTGCTGCTGAGAAAGCCATGAGATCTACAGAACACAGTCTCTTTTGAACAAATGCAGGCATAACCTTAAAAAGCACAGTGATGTTACTCAGTGAGGATGGTGGAGTAGTTACTCTGACAAGCAGGAAACCTAAGTTGGCCTGGAATTCAGAACAACGTGGCACTCCTAATTTAGAAAAGTAAACATTCATTAAAATCTCAGGTTTCATTGAGCATTTGGATAGGGCTTTGCATCAAGTAATGTACTAATGCAAAGAGCTATACAGAATGCTAATGTTCCAAATTACATTAATTGATTCCATGTTTAAACACCCTTGATAGTGGCGCAATTCTAATCGAACACACAGAAGTGGAAAATACTTCATACAAAGCTCACAGCACCCTTCCTGTCACCCTGCTCAATAGTGGAGTGAGCAGATTCACAGTGCCCTGGGTGAAAAACTGAAGGGTCCTGGCTGCATCTGGCTGCTGACTGGTCACCTGTGCTGCACCTCTGGGTTCAGCTGCAGAGCCTGTTCTGCTCAGAACATCCATCAATGGGCTGGGTGCAGCAGTTCAGTGCATCATTAGCAAGCTTGCCGATTATACAAAACCTAGAGATGGTGTTGACTCTGTTGACTCCCAAGGGATAAGAGGCCTCTGCACTGGGCAGTCATCAAGGACATGACATTTAACAAGAACAAATGCCTGATCCTGCACCGAGGATGGAGTAGCACTAGGCACAAATTGGAGAGCAGCCCTCCAAAGAGGGACCAGGGCATGCTGGTCAGCACTAGCCTTTTCCTGTTGAATTCCAAAGCAAAATTTTTGGCGTTTTCAATGAAAGCATAAAACTGGGAAAAACTACTATGACAGACAGTCAAGAATTAAATGAAATATGGTTTAGTATAGTACCTGCAAGGTGGGATCCGCTGATTTGTATGGGGGTCACATTTTGGTACTAAGATTGTACAGGCAAAAAACATCAGGTACTTGTAGCAGTTGGTCTGAACCAAAGCTGGGAAAAGGGAGGACTCCCAGCTGATAGAGGCTTCCTTCTGTGTCCTGTGGCCCAGGTAGTTTGGGTAATAAGTATAGTTGTAAGGCAAGTTCATACAAAGTTCCAGAGTAATTGGTTCACACTGACCTTTCAGGGAGAGAAAACAAACAGAACCACAAATGGTGAGAGATTAAATTAAATACAGAAGAAATAATTCCATACTTATTTAACAAATTTATCAGTCGGGGGATAACCTCTCAGGCTTGAGAAACTACAAGAGCTAGAGATCCCTTACAAGCCTTTTCATAGCAGTAAAGGTGGGTTTGAGTCCTGCCTACCTCGTAACCCATTAAGATACTTTTATTTCCTTATTAATATTCATTGACTTTCTGAGCAATATCTTAACTTTAAGGTGGTACAATAAACCACCCTTAAACCAGTACAGTTTGCACTGTACAGCAACAGCAACACACTGGTGTACCTGCTATGCTACCATGACACACCTCACACTGACAGAGCAATTGCCAAAATTAGGAAGACAGAAATCATCGGATACTTTGGGTTAGAAAGGATCTCAGGAGATCTCTGCTCCAATGCCCTGATCAAAGCAGGTCAGCTCTGAGGACTGATCAGCTTTCTCAAGGCTTTAGATAGTCAGGTCATAAAAAATCTCCAGTGACAGAGACTGCACAATTTCACTAGAAGCCAGGAGTTGCTTTTAATTCTTTTCCTTGTTTACCAAGATCTGAAGGAGGGGAAAATTAGGTTATGTATTGCACAAGCATTGAGCAAGAGACAGTCTATGCTAATAATTTAATTTGGGTAAGACATAATTAATAACAAATTAGAATGATAAGCAAAGACAAAACAGATGCTACAGCTACAAGTCCATATAATTATATATATTATAGCTACATACAAAAATATTCCAACTTTTGGAAGTTTATCACAACAAATTTTGAACTAGCCAAGTATTTTGGATTTCTAAAAATTGTATAGCTTTTGTATTTCTTCTCACTCTGGTATTCAGAAATATTTATTTTTCAATTTTCCACCATAACAGAAAACTACAGACAGAATTTCACTTCAACCCAGACTGAAATTCAACTTTTTATTTAGCAATGAGATGATTGTGAAATTATTTAAACTTATTTACTCTGGATATATTGGGAAAGTTTTCCACAAAAAAGTATACAAGTCAAAAGTTTAAAAATGCATATATTTGCCTATTCTGGGAGTATAATTGCTCCCAGAATAGGCAAATATATGCATTTTTAAACTTTAATAATATGCATTTTTAACATTAATATGATTAATACTCTCTGTTAGCCAGTTGCTAGCATCAGTTGCTAGTACAGTGTGAGAACTGTGTCATCCCATAGCTGTATCTTTGAGAGAAGTTGCAAGAAGAGCCAACAGCAGTTAATTATTCAGCTAATCAGCAGAACTGGGTATTCTTTCTTGATCTGGCATTTGGTGTTTCATCTTGTTTTACTATTTACTCCTAATCTGATGATCACAAAGCCCATTTTACATCCACCTTTTTCCTCGCACACTACCAATACTGAACTGTTTGTTTCTGTTGTCTCAAACCACTTGTCACATCTTTGGGACACATGAGGTTCAATGACTTTAACAACTCTCCTCACGTTACTGCCATTTCTCTTCCTTCATGATGAACAACCCCTTGTCCTTCCACACTTTTGCCTGAGATGCTCAGATCAGTTTGGGCTCATCTTTTGATTATGGCCAGTAAACATCTTTCTTTGATGTGTACAGAACTTTACATATTCACCAGTATGGTTTCAGGATGACCACAAAAGTACATGCAATATTGTGTTTGTATAACATAATATTATTCAAGACTAAAGGGTTGAAATGCACATATACCATCCTCTTTTATTGCGCCTCGTATTTATATGGGTTTAAAGGAATTCTGGAAGAAAATCTAGTCTACTGAAATGCTGCTGGAGGATAGCTCTTTACACGTTTTCAATGTGATTATAATTTTCACACTGTGTTTAGAAAGCTTCCATTACACTATGTGCAAAAGTGTCACTGTAGGTTTGAAAATAATAACATTGACTCTCACACGCAATTCCCAACAATCCAGAGAGTAATACACAGAACATATGGTCCAGGGGAACATCTGACCCATTTTAAGTAACCCAAATGTTAGTCTTTCCTTCTGAGTCTGTCCTACAGCTTAAGAGGTCCTGCTACTCCTTATCTATAATACACGTGCGTCCAGCCTAAGGAGTAAGGAACAAGGAATAAATTCATTGCATCTTTCATCCTGAATTAAGAGAAGAAAGAAGTCAAAACAAACAAAATAAAAGTAAAAAAACCCAACCCACAAACAAAAACATTAAAAAAAAAAACCCAAAAACCCCAAAACAAAAAAAAACCCCAAGCCAACAACAACAAAAAAACCACCACAAACCAAGACATTACCACATAGACTATGCCTGGATTTAAGGTCTTCCTGTGTTTATTATTAATTTGCTCTATCCATTGGAGTCTCTATAACCACTCTGGGCAATCTGTGTCCAGTCACACTTGCAGTAAAAAAAGTGCTTATCATCAGAGCTTCATTATGCTCCTGTGTTTTATTTTGTGCCAATTGCCTCTGATCCTGTTACTGAGCTCTGGCTTCTTTACTCTCTCCCTTCAGATAGCCATTCTGTTATCTTAAACATATTGTAAATACAATATACAATTATAATGCCAGCCTAAACTAATCTGATATTATCACATTTGGAAGACATTCATCACATTCAATACTGGGAAATGTGGCCTACACCTTGGAATTTTTCAGCCAGATAGTAATCTGGGCCAAGAAGTACTGCTTTGTCAAAACGGAAATTTTTCATGAGAATTTTTATGTCTCACCAAAGATGAAATAACTCAGGTCAAAATATGAACAACAAAAATAATATGAGAAAAAGACAACAGTACTTCCAGATGTTATGCAAGAACAATCTCTCCCAAACTGTCTTGCTGTTCCATTGTGTATAAACAATTAAATATTCACTGGACTAGAAAGAGACAAAGTGAGATGATCCAGAAGACTAGTTCAGACTATGCATTACTCCTGCTAAGAACTACAGACAGTTGCCCATAATATGTTGAGGAAACGTCTTCACTAAAAAGCTCTTGGGTTTCTCATAATACGGCACAGGAACAATGTTTTACAATTCAAATATTACACGTCAAAAATCATAGAATCAAAGAGTGGTTTGGGTTGGAAGAAGCCTTGAAGATCATCTTTAGTGGGAGATCCTATTGCTCTTAGCAGTTAATGAGCAGGTGTAAATCACATGGAACCAGACCCTTTGGAGCAGCAGGGATAGGATAAGAGGCAAAAGACATGAAAGAATTCCAATGATTTATATGAAAATAGGTTTTTAGAATGGAAGTTCTCTAACAGTGAAACAGATCTCTCACAAAGATTGTGGAATCTCTGTCCTTAAGGATAGAGTTGCTCAGCTGCACAAGATCTGTATGGGCAACATAACTTAATTGGCACTGATTTGATCATGGGTTTTGGCTTGTTACCAAAGGTGTTACCTGGCTTCCTTCTAATGATAAACATGGTACATGAGATTATTCCTTTACAAAAATGTAGGCAAAGCAATGACAGAAGCATATGTAAAAGCATTTATGCCTTATAAAGTGTATTATAGCTTTACTTTAGCAGCATCTAAAGGCTGCAGCATGAGTGGTGTCTGTCTCAAACACTTGAAGGTGATAGTCAAAACTCTAGAGAGAATATGGAGTTTGGACTAGTTGACCTTCCCATGTCCATTCTATTCTAAATGGAATGACATTATCCACACAAGCTACCATATAGTATCAAAGCATATCTTGCAGAGAGCACAAAGCAATTACACATGAATTGTGTAAAAATAAACTGTAAGTGAAGCCAAGTCTGTCCATCTGTCAAGGTGACCTGAATTGATGTGACTGTATTAACACAACACTAAGTTTTAACTAATTTTGAGTAATTTTTCATACAGTTCTGCCCCACTTTCAAAACACAGACAAATATATTTCTATTGATTACCTGTTCACATAGCACAATTGAGAAAAGCAGCTATTCAGACACAAGTGCACAACTGGGACAGGAACCTTGCAGGGAGTGGTATAGTGCAGCACACAGGTATGAGGACACACAGAGCTGAAGACCCTGATCCTCTACTGTTTGTATTGGTCAAAAGTATAATTAGTTTTTACAGTTTGAATACCAAAATAGTTCCTTCATAAACGTCTGAGAGTTCTCCAGACTACTAAATACTGTAACATGGGGTTCTTTATATTGTGAAAATAAATCTTCTGCTTTACACTTATACTATGCTGTCTACTTTACATAGACACCGAATGTCATTAAATGCTAAGAGAAAGTGAAATGGTAAACACCCATGCAGAAAATACAAAATTTCACAGAAGAGAAAATTAAAATACCTCAAAGTCAAATGTTATAAATCCTAGTACCTCAATAATCAAGAGCTTTGATGACATATTTGCTTCATATGAAGACATATTGCCCTTTTCAAAGCTTAGTCATTAGACATCTATATTAGCTAGAAAATTACAGTATTACCTACTGTGTTCTACTCTGCATCCTCATTATAAACTAGAACACCCTAAAAGAGTAACAGTATGAAGCACATGACCTACTTACTGCAGTTTGCCTGGCTGTTTCTCATCTCACAGGGAGAAGCTCCACAGGGATCAGGGCAGGAAGAGCACCTCTGGTCTCCCTCCTGACAGAGGGTTTGATCTGATGGAAGTAGAAAAGTACTTTTCAAATTATTTACCAGACTAATGAAAATGACTGGAGCATAATGAGAAAGTACAGTATTTACATAAAAATTAAGTATTTCCTTTACATATTTCAGTAAGTACCCAGCAGCATTTCAAGCGCAGTAAGGAAGAAAAGTGTGCAACACTGTTCAGTTCCCACTTTTCTTACCCCTCTGTTCAATATAAAAAAATTATATCCCAGTTTCTGAATGAGAGGCATGGATCTCTGAAAGATATTTACCATGCAGAATATTAAAAGTCATGCAAATTACATTTCAAAAAGAACAATAGGTCCTAGCTGAAAGAGAACATTGTCTGGGAATTATTCTTCAATGTGACTCAGATGATCTGCTTCTAATCTTATGATTGTTTTGGTCAACAATAAAAGACATCCTGAAGAAAGGTCAGAGATGAAGATTAATTGTCCTCACTTGACTGGTTAAAAAACAAAAAAGAACAGAAAGAACTCCAAAAATGCTATGGTCCTAATGATGCACTTCAGAATAAATAAAACCAACACTTCATCAAAAGTTTCTGAACTACTTGAGTAGTTACTTCATCTGACAAATCCCTGGACTTCTCTCTCTCATAGTTGTGCTAGCTCCTTTCCAAACCATTAAATTCTCTCTTCCATGTGTAAAATGAGTCATTTAGTTTACTATTCTGTAAGGAGAGATTAAATAAATGGTGTTCATCATCTTATCCTGTTCAAAACAGCTTATTGCCCTGATTGCTTAGTATTTGTACTGCACTACTGCTCATGAACCTTAATCATTCATCCCTCCATTGGACATACAGAAGGTGCTGAAGAAAGATCTAGTTTCAATAACCTTGACAACAATCTTGTCTAAAGGAACTGATTATATAGTCATATCTATCATAATTATGTGGATTTACTTCCATTCATACATGTTATATATTGAAGCAAAAGAGGTAATTTCTTTGCTATAGTGATTGACAATCTTATTTTACAGCTGCATCTGACTGGAAAATGGAACTTGAAAGGCAGGAAAAGCCTTTTGACTTCTAAAGCTATCCCAAATATTTACATTAAAATTATTTTTAAAGTTTGCTCCAACTCCGTCCTATACTTTAAAAATCCCTGTGCTACAAGGTAGATTCTTTTGATCCTAGCACAAATAATGCTGAATTTCTACAAACACACTGTACCCTGTCTTTTGAAGAGATCACAGAAACAGTTGTGAATACATCCATATTAGATTTCTATTGTCACAAAATGAATGAGAGCAGTACTCATAGACAGATGCCATACCTTAAATTTCCTTAAGGCATGCAGTGAAGGAGACCACTTTTCTCATCCAGGTAGAGATGAAGCAACAGTCAATGGTAATATCTGAATGTATGTACTGCTAATGGGACACAAGATCCCTGTACCCTTTTATAGGAAAGGCGAAGTCACTACACCCTGAGCTCAAATTTCTATGCTGATTTCTCACATTTACTGTGTTTGTAACAAAACCAGTACTCCAGACTCCATTAGCCCTAACTACACTGACTCTGACAGACATATCCAAATTTTTTATATTTGATTTGTAGAGCAGAAAAGTCCTTGTAAATGTCCTACGACATTTTTTGCAGTTGCTGGAAACAACAAAATATATAAGAAATACAATAGTAAGTTACAAACAAGAATTCTGCCTTGGTTTTACATGGACTTTGCAAGGAACTAAAGATTAATGAAATCTAAATTCTGCCAAAATATTCACATGCAAATTAGGGTGGATGGGATATGGTTGCCTAAAGAAAGAATTTTTCTCTACACAATACTGCAATATACTGGATAGAACTTTTGCACATTGAAGAATTAATAATAAAAATTAGGAAAATGTTTGTATTTAAAAGCTCTGCAGTTCAATGCCAAGCAGAAAAGATCTTTTATCATGTAGTGAGATCACTGAATACATAATTATCATCCCATATTACTTGGGATTGAATATTTTAACCTATACCTATTCATCATACCAAAAAAAGATTTTTAACCATTGCTTCAACATCAAAAGGGGAAAAAAGAGGCAGTGAAAACGAAATACATCACTGACTTCTAGCCCACATCACGTAAGAAAAAGGGAGGATAAAACAATTCATAGGCTAAGACTGAGACTGGACATCAAGAAAGAAGAATAAAAGGTGAACATTTTGTGAAAGGGTACAGTCAGAACTGAGGAGAAAAACTTGTTTCTGGGTTTTAAGATTGCCACGGTCAGAACGAGAAGATATTTCATGCAAGACTTTTTTATAATGTCAACATTAAAAGTGAGGAAAAATAATGATAATTTCTATGTTTCAGCTTCTCAGATATGTTTGGAATGAAAGTACTTAAATTGCAGTAGGAAAATCCCAAGAATTTTCTGTGAAAAGAAGGGACTGAGTGACATGCTTATGAAAGGATTTATTTTAGACTGGCTTCCTAAAGAAAAAAGGCTTATATAATTACACTGTGTATCTATTTTATGATAACAGGTCTTGTCTACTCTAATAACTATTAAATAGCCTGTCCTATTACCACTACACTTGCCAAGGGTAGCTTTCTGCATAAGGTTAACTATTTTAATTTCTTTAAAATAAGATTAACTTTAAAAAGACATTAATAATTCTTGCATTAAAGAAAGGCTGCAATCTGAACCTACATCTTACCAGGAATAAGAGAATTACATGTGAAAAATACCTTCAAATTTTGAAATCATCATAACATAACAACATTGCTTTCTGACTGTCTTTGGAAAACCGTGTTCTGGGGCTCAAGCCATTGCTTAGTTTCCTCTTCTCTCATAAAGTCCACAATAAGACAGCTATCAAGTAACTGTGAAAACTTATGCTCTCATAAATTTTCCCTTAGTTACACTAAATCATTAGTTTACTTATTAAAACATTCTTTCTCTGATTCCCAAGTTCTGATAAAGAAATTGATTTTAATGAGAAAATTCCTGCTCAAATGACACCAAATCCTGTAATAGTAGATTCTCATTGCTCCAAACAATGTATTTCAAGTAACAGCTAATTATATCAGATAACTAAATACTGTGCTAAATATCACCCCCACTTCTTCACCTTTTTTAATAATTTTAAGTATTAAAAGAAGTCTGCTTACAAATGTCTGTGTGAAAGCACACACCAACCAGCCTTAGCAAGTGTTATTTGAAAGATAAACAAAGTCATTTGTCAGACAGCATTAGCTAAAGGCACTGTGGAACACAGCAGTCAATGGTAGGTTTAGCAAGAAGAGTATAATGAGGCATATCCTTACTTTCACTGCAGTTTTCTTCATCACTTCCATCTTTACAATCATTATCTCCATCACATTGGAATGCACTAGGAATGCACTGCCCATTTCTGCACTCCACCAGACCCTGACTGTGACATGCTAGAGGGAAAAAAATATTAAAAAACAATATTCTGATCAATGAGCTCAGTGAAGCCCTGCATTCTATTTGAACATCACAATGAAGTTATTTTAGGAGGAGCTGATAACACTGCTTAGCACTGGAGGTCAGGAGGCATTTCTCATTATTTGTCAGCTAATTTTTCAATAGCTGTACTGATCTTTACCTACAGAGACTGAAACTATAAATGTCAGGTATTAGCAACTGCCTGAGATGAAGTCTTAGCTTCCCCAATGAAAAAAATGCACGTAATTTTTACTCATTTGGTGGGAACATTACAATTAACAAAACACTAATTCTGTAATTAACAAGAAGCTCTAACACAAAGCAATGCTTTACTTTTTAACAAAGGCAACAAATATTTAATTTGCTGCTGCTGTCTACTGAAAACAGACATTTTTCAAGTGTGAACTTCTGCAATAAAATTAGTTTATAGTTTTGCCTTACAAGCAAGTACATTAGTTATCTTACTTTTTTTTTTTTTAGTTTTCAAAGAAAGAAAAAATAATTTAGAGATTAAGGGAACTTACAGCAATTGATCTCATCTGATTTGTCTATACAGTCATGGTCACCATCACATACCCAATCAGCTGTTATACATCTCCCCTCTCCACACTGGTGATGTGTCACTGGATTGCAATCTACATAAAATGCATATTTGAGGGAAAAAAAAGGATGCTAAGTTATCATTTGTATATTTTATATTACTAATCAATTGTTCTATGCTTATTAGCTAATTTTCTTATTAATGAACCATTTTAAATTGATAAATTATATGAAGAAATTTTTTGTATCTGCAGACTTTTTGCAGATGGTAGTTACATATATTCTTAATTGTACTGCCTGTATAGTGATGCAGTCATTCCTTCTCCCCGGTGCACAGCTGGGACTATTTGTAAATAAACGAGTTTCTAAGATTTGTTAAACCAATCAGAAGATCTGGCTTACCACCTCAGGGAATGCTTTTCAGTTAACCAACATTTTGAGTAACCATCAGAGAAAATAATTTCCTTCATTTATCTTTTTACTAAGACATTTAGAAAATATTTCTTAACTTCAGAAACTATATTTTTTGCACGTACTTGGAATTTTCCATAAGAATTATCTACAAAGAAATTATTCCAATTGCCATCATACTCTTTATACCTGAATGCACAAAGAGCATTCTATTGAGCACAATGACTTTACATGAAAATAGAGAGAACAGACATAGTCCACTCCTCCAGATCAGCTATGAAAACCAATTATAGCATGTACAAAAACTTAGATTTTAAAAATTGTAAACAAAAAACCCCTATGTCAAGGTACGAAAGATAGGGGACAAATCAACATTTAGAAAAACTTAATCATCTTTAAACTGAGATTATTTATGAAAAAGGACCCACTAAATAACCAAAACTGACAAGAAAATATTGAAAAGTCTTAAGAGTGTGCTTAATTTGAAGAAATTAAAAAAAAACTCAGACAAAAATGTGCCTTGATTTTCAGTTTTTATATTCTTTGTGTTCTTCCTTAGAAAAGCAAAAGGAAAAAAGAGAGAAACAATATTTTAACTGTTTAAAATTATTTTAGAAAACTTAATTTTTCTCAGGTGTAGTAACAGGACCTAAAGTTAGTAAAAATAAGGCCTTCTGAGTTTCCCAATAGTTACATGCTAAGATTATTATTTTTTAATGTCAAAACCCCATTGTTTCTCCTATGGAAGTTTAGTGTAGGTAGATACATACAGCAGGTAGGTAAGTGTCATGAGAACATGGAAAGTTGATTGACAAGACAATTCGAAAGAAAAAGAATTTGATAATGAAAACATACAACTTCACTATCAATCTTATGTAAAAACAGCTCAGCTATAAAACAGCTGGCACCACTAGTGCCCTCATATAGTTTGCTTTACTCTCAGTTAAATACAGTCAAACTAGCAAAGAAGCATCTTTTGGAATTAGTTTAAAGCAAATTGAAAATAGCAGTATTTCTTATAAATACCAAACTCTTCAAGATTTGGATTGACCCAGAACTCTCCCTTAAACCCTTTCAAATTTCATATAGAATCTGTGAGCTGTTTACACTTTGTTCAAATACAGTAAGAGCAGGGTACATTAGTCTTTCAGTAGTTCTAGGAAAAGGTTTACTGGCTTAGGCACTCCTGATATATTAAAGACTTTAGAAAAGCACATAACTTTCATTTACCACAATTTTGCTCATCACTAAGGTCTCCACAGTCATCGTATCCATCACAAACAAAGGTATAATTGAGGCATTTTCCCGTCTCACAGCGAAATACATCAGTGCTGCAATCTACAAAACAAAGCACGTAAAATGTTAAGGCTGAATTGGAACATTCATATAAACTATGAACCCTGAAACGTACTGACTGCACACAAGATTATCTGAAGATACCTTACAGCTTACAGCTCTGCATTAATACCAATTTATTGTGTACCAATTTATGAGAAACTAATCTGGAAGAAATGAAAAATAAAAAGCCATTTTTAGAAATTTTTACACTCTCCCTACCAGGTGTTTTTTTGATCAATGCCATAAGGAGAGAGTGCTCTGGTTGCACATAGGGACCTAAATGTTTCATTAATTTATACATACAAAGTTCTCAAGAAATGTTGTAGTCTTCACAATTGCAGATTACTAGGAAAATCCTGAGTATCTGACGTGGCTGTTAAGTGGAGATGAAGATTCTAACAGCAAAATCAAGATCCCTAGACCCTGCTTTTGAGCCTGCCTTTGGTCTTACAATGGTTTCAAATGAGCTTCATGCTTAACACAGTTTGGAGCTCAAATTTGGCCTGGTGCCTTCTCATCAAGGAATTCTTACTGTCAGCCCTAAGTGGGTTTAACATTTTTTTATGACTGGATGCATCAGTAAAGCCTGCCAGATTTTCTCTGAGTATGACCATAATACTTGAATAATATCAGGTTCAATAAAAACATGGAATCTTTGTTGTAGTTAAGCGGGTTGAAGAGAAATTATGGTTTGTGGTATCTGGTCCCATCAGTAATAACTTTTGATTTCAAGTATGCAGCTAGGAAGTAGGTAACTCAGTTTTACTGCCTTCTTCTAGACTTTTCCTTGACCTCTAGGTTTCCAGGGAGAATGCCGAGATACAGAACTGGGTGGACAATACTGCCTTCCTGTTGGAGCTATGCCACTGGAACCAAGGAAGTCCTTTGTGCCCGTTCTTAGTGGCATATGTGGGCATTTAAATGAGTTATTACCCAGAAAACAGAGAGAGAGCTCAAAAAGCAGGGACTGGAATCAAAGTGCCTCCTTTCTTCTGAGATGATCAACCACAAAACAACAGCATCATGCTACCACTTCCCTCTCTCCTCTTGGCATGTGATTCCTGTGCTCATGATTGAACAGCAGCTCCCCTTTGAAAGCAGGGTGTCCTTCTAAGGATGTTACACACTGAAAGGTGCAGAACTCTTCCAGAAGGTGCTGTGGGGCTTCTACCCCTTCAGATCAATGTCAACCAAGTATTTCACTTCCTGGGTGAAAAAAACCTCTGGAACGTGAACATGAGTCACTTCTTCTCCTTTCCCCACAGAAGTATTAGTGCTTTCTTCAAGTTTCATATCATCTTGGAAAGTCCAAACAGAATTTATAGCTTAATAAGAAGGAAATGCTTCAGGATATGAAGTAAAATAATACGGCTGAGCCATGAGCTACATACTCAATAGTTAATTCAGCTTCAAAAAGAACCATTATTCATAAAACCGGGAATAACAAAAACCCCACACTAAATGAAAATAAATTTAAGTCCTTGCTCCCTGTAAGCAGACCAAGACCCAGCTGAGAGTAAATTCTAAACATCACTTGTTTTGAATATGCAACAGCATGAAGTACTCTGGCAACCTTTAATCTTACTGATCTGTTTGTAACTCTGACAGTTCCTATACTTCTTCCACTGCCCCTCGTGCAAATGAAACAAAACTGCCTTTTCTATGTTATTTCCTCTGGATAAATTTACTGTTTAATTTCCATCCATACCATCACATTTCTGTTTCCATCCACACCCCTGAAGCTGCCGCAGTGTCGTTTAGGGCAGACAACCCACAGGCCCACACAGACAGGGTAAACAAAAAGAATACAAACTTCCTTGCAGGGAAATAAAATTAACTTGATGAAAATCTAATAGCCTTAATATACATTTTCTTTATTGGCAATAATGTATTGTAAAGGTAGCTGTTTACTCTGTTAAGTAAGATGGGCACTTGGCAGTTGCCACTTGTAAAAAGCTCGACTTAAGTTTTATAAATGATGGGGATAGCCCCATTTTCACAAAATTAAATACAAATTCCTATTCTATACTCCACTAAACATAAATGAAGCCTGGCTAATCTTTTGCATTCAACAATTTGGCCCTGAGAGAAGCTCAGTTGGTTAAAGCATGGTGGAAAAGCCAAGGTGGCAGGTTTGATCCCTGTATGATCCAGAAGGATCATACCGCACATGGGTCTGGGCAAACCCCCACAACATCCTACTCTCTAAACTGGAGAGAGATGGATTTAATGGGTGGATAAGGAATTGGTTGGACAATCATAACCCAAGAGTCAATAGCGCAGAATCCCAAAGGACATCAGTGACCAGTGGTGTCCCTCAGGGCTCTGTACTCGGACCAGTGATATTTAATGTCTTCATTGATAACATAGATGAAGGGATCAGGCACAGCCTCAGCAAAGCTGCAGATGAGAGGGGAGATGGTGTGGATGTCAAGCTGAGTGGTGCGGTTGACACACCTGAAGGACAGGGTGCCATACAGAGGGACCTGGACAAGCTCAAGAAGTGGGTGTATGGGACTCTTGTGGTCCAACAAGATCAAGTACAAGGTGCTGCACCTGGGTCAGGGCAAACGCTGGTATCAACACAGGCTGGGGGGATGAACAGATGGAAAGCAGCCCTGCCAAAAAAACTTGTGGGAACTGGCAGATGAACAGCTGCACATGACTCAGCAATGTGCACTTGCAGCCCAGAAAGCCAACTGTATCCTGGGCTGCATCAGAAGCAGCATGGCCAGGAGGCTGAGGAAGGTGATTCTGTCCCTCTGCTCTGCTCTTGTGAAAGCCCACCTGTAGTGCTGCATCCAGCCCTAGGTGCCAGAGCACAGGAAAGACATGGACCTGTTGGAAGAGGTCCAGATGAGGCTACAAAAATGACCACAGGGATGGAACAGATCTCCTTTGAAGAAAAGCTGAGAGAGGGTTGGGGTCGTTTCTCCTGGAGAAAGAGTTGTCTTTCAGCACTTTAGGAAAGCTTATATGGAAGATAGGGACATACTTTTTAGCTGGACCTGTTGTTATAGGACAAGGAGTAATAGCTTTAGAAGAGGGTGCTTTTAGACCAGACATAAAGAAAAAATGATTTACAGTGAGGATGTTGAAACACTAGAACAGTGAAACATTACCCAGAGAAATGGTAGACACCCCGTTCCTGGAAATATTCAAGGTCAGATTGGATGGGTCTCTGAGCAACCTAGTCTATAATTTAATGAGGTGACTAAAGACTTTGAGAGGGGCAAGGACTACAAGAAACACAGCATCTTTTATCAGCCAAGCTTTCAGGCAAATAGGTCTTCCTTCAGTTTTGCTCTTTCTGCTGTGTAATTCAGGAAAGTCTTATTTGACCTCCACACCCTCTCCTCAACTCCTACCAAGCATCCTAATGAAAGATGCCCTCTGCATATAAACCCTGTGTCATTAAACAGACAGGCGTCCTTTCAAAGGTAATCCTAGCTCATTAAATTTATGCTTGTTTCTTCAAGACATGTAAGACATTTATTCTTTTACTACTAATTTCTTCTTTTCCCAATTCTAATAGAACTTGAAAGCCATAGTCTCATAGGCATTTTTAAATTTTTAAACTTACTTTAAATCTAAAGCTAATGTTGACATGAAAAATTGGAAAATAAAAACATACAATACTTTTTACATAATAGACATTATCTTAACCTCCAAGAAATAAATTGTAGGGTATTAAAGGAAAAGCAAGCTCTAGCCTTATTCATATTGAGACCAGGAGGAAATTGCTGTCCTCAATTATTCCTTGGAGTATCCCAGATAAAATCTAACAACAACTTCCTTAAAAGCAGCTCTGTGAGTCTTGGAATGCCCAGGCTCTTAAATCACTAGTAAGAACTAATCTTTTGAGTTGAGTCTGAACTGCACAGTCTGACATTTTTCAAAGTCTGAAAGAGAAATCTTGTTTTGTGGCATCATGTCCTGTATAGTTCCTATTTAGTAATTTTTTCACATCTTCCTCTGTTCTTTTTCTTCTTGCCTTCTCATTGTTTTCTTACGGTACATTTGCTCCACTTTTCTAAAGGTGTTTGTAGTCCAAGGTGTTTTGTTAACACAGAAAAACATACAGGAGCTCTAAAGACATGCACTACCACAGACAAATAAATAAAAAATTAAGCAATCACATATGTACATTCTACTGCAGCACATACTGGGATTAATTTAAATAAATCACACCCAGGGCTGAGACCAAGAGAACTTTTGAAACAGATGGTCTTGCATCTAGTCTAAAATCAATGCCAAGGACCAGGATAAAGCTAGAACAGTATGCAGCTGATTATCAGAAGTGCTCCTTTCTGATGTACACTACTGACCCCTTAAAAAAAAAACCCAAACAAACAAACAAAAAAAACAAATATTTCTTATTTCCACATAGCTCCTTGCAGAGTATGTGCCTCAAAGCATAAAATTTGATAGATCAAAAGCACATGCTGTGGCCTGAGTGAGCAAAGCTAAACACAGTCCACAGCAACTGACAGAGTCCAAATGTCAATATATGCAAACACTGTGCACAGCTCCTGCTCTGTGCCAATAGCCTGGTTCAGCTTCCAGGTCTCCCTGAATGGATTCAGTACTTCAGCAGAACACTGCAAGGTTTAAGAAACTTACTACAATGGACCTCATCACTCCAATCATCACAGTCGTTGTAGCCATTACACTGCAGTTTCCCTGGGATGCAGATCCCACTGGCACACAAGAAACTCTCCTCTCCTCCACACAGTGCTGTAAGAGAGCAGAAAAGACAGAATGTGGAGAAAAATCATTAGCATCAACACTACGAAGTTAGTAATACTAGAGTCTTACAAATGTTAAACCAATATCACATATTTCCCACAGGGATGAAAATATATTTCCAATTTGGAAACCATTAGGATAGCTCTCAGAGGAACATCACTGAATGCAAGAAGGTCAAGAGGAAAACCTAAAAGAGAAAAAATCTCAGATTTTGAGATAGCACAAAGCCATTTAAAACTTCTATCACTGAATGACCCATTTTAAAAGACCTCAACAGACAGTCATGAAAGGACTATTACAGCTGCTAAATCTGCCCCTGAGATGAAGGAAGGAACCTTACATGCTCATGTGGAATATTCCTACAAAAATATAATAATTTTTGCTTAAGACTGGCTTTACTATCTAGCCCTTCGGTATTCCTCACAGCTTGCCAAACCATTGGTATACAGTGGATGCCATGAGGTACTACTTAGCACTGGGCATGCTTTTTCAGTGGGTTTTTTTTTTCAAAAATGTCAAATAGCTCCAGCTTGCACTGGCTGCACATTCAACTATTTACCTAGATTTTTAGCTTTATTTGTGGTCCTAGAATAGCAGTCTTCATCACACTATGGCAATGTCTGTACACACAAATACACACACTCTCAGCACCTTCATTATTAGTTTTAAATTTTGTCAGCAGGAGATTTTTTTTTTCAATACACATTCTTTTCTAAGCCTCCCTATTATTTTATTATCCCCAAGAAACAGGGCAGACTTAGACTTAGTTAACTGAAACACACACTCCTCATGAAAATTTTGTTTGTAATAAACACTTAGGAATAATTTCAAAATCTTTTCTATGACATTTCCAGGCGTACTGTCCACTTGGACAGCAAATAATTTTGATTTTGCAATACAAACATCATTTTCTAGCTGTGTAATGAGAACATGGTTATTGCAGTGAAAGCTGCTTATGGAATGTATTTTAAAGGAGGTAAACTAACTCCTAACTAACTTTACTGAACAGTGCCCAAAATATTAATTAGGTGCCCTAATACTAATTTAAACCAAAGATTTTCAACTGGTTTGTGCCATTTAATGTTTGTGACTCTTCATCAGTGACAAGGTAGTGTAAAACCACCAGCATCATCCTTCTGCACACCCTTACGATGTGTTCCTCAGTAGGTTCCCCCACACTGTGTGGCTGAGCACATTTCCTAACCTCTAACTGAAGAGTTACTGCCTCCCCTGTATTCTACCAGTTTTATGAACTGCAAAATACAACAGCCTTAAGACAAACACGAGATTTGGTAACAGCCACAGTCTCATTTTATAGCGTGAAAAATGAGGCAATGAGATATTACAATGAAAATTATAAGGAATAATGAATAATAACATCTCAGACACAAAAATCAGCATGTGATTTTTTTTTTTGGAGGGTAAAGACTGATGTCATTTTACATGTTCAAAGAATAGCTCTTGTTGCCTTTATCTGCAGCTGCAAATGACTCAGTTGCAAATAAACTCCAGCTATAGAAATGAAGAGCCCAGTTAGCTGGAAGTGCTCTAAGAACAGTAGAGAAAATTTTTATTCAAGTGCCTTGCTCAGCATGGTCATTCCAGCAGTGACAGGGCAAGAATCTCATTTCATATGATAATGTCACACTTTTATTATGAGCTGATCTTTTTATTTCTCCAGTTCCCTGCCCTATACACTGCACTTCCTGATTTCTACAGTCACTAAGCTCTACAGGGGCCCCCAGAAACAACAGACTTCCTTGGTATGGAAGTACTAGTTCCCCAGACACCAGAGTTTATCCCACAGAAGATGATGTCAGGTAAAAATACAACATGATAGCATAATCAAAATTTTGTAACTCATCATACAAGAAAGGCTCTTAGAGGTTGGAAAGGCAACTTTAACTGATGGGTAATCTTACATTCTTATAACTTGGCTTTTACACAAATTCCTTCATGTTTAAAAAGAGCATAAATAGCTCAAAAGAAACTACCTTGATTTGCTTTGATGGAGATCTCCATCAGTACAGAGCTTCACTGGTACTAAGACAGCAAGAGTAATGGACTCCTATCTTTTGTGTGAAGATGCCAATCTGGCCTGGGAGAATGAAAGTTAACAGCAGGGATATCTGATAACTTTTCTTACAGATCAGAAGAGAAAGGTTCCAGGGTCCCATATTCATTTCTGAGCTATGAACAAAAGTGTGTTGAAGCATTTTTAAGTCATCCTGACTCTGCCTCCTTAATACATCTCTGTCTTGTTCTGCTCCTGTCCCAAACCACTTCTCCATTTCTGCACACCTAAAGTGAGCATTTTTCTTTTTATCTTGTATGTTATACAAAAAACAAGAGGAAGAGTGAGATTAGTTTTCTTTATTTCAGTTTTATCTTCCAGCTGCAATCAGAAGGAATCTTTAGAAATTTTAATCTCACCTCTTGCAGTCTTGTCATAGGTAATGACTGGATATGTTTGGTCCAGTCAGTACAGTGTACAGGGCAAGGAGAGTACAGACACTGTGACAGTACCTCCAATTAATGTAATTTCTGCTTTCTACCAAGCTTGTGCAAGAACTTTTCAGTAGGCTGACCACTCCATCATACCTCCAAAGATCAGATTTTAATGGAAATTATAAAAGCTTTATATAATGCTGTAGTATTTGATCTGGAACCTAGTGGATTTAGGTATGCAACCATTTATAAGACTTTACTGAACACAGGCTACATACTCAGAAACCCTGGTACTGTTCGAAACAAAGCAGCAGCAGCAGCAGAAATAATGCCTGAAGTAGATGTCTGAAATAGGAAAAACACAGACTATTCCACTCAAAATTATTACAAATGGCAAAGATGTTATTCTAGAGAAATATGCTGGGAAATGTTAATTACTGATACCTCTGTAAATAATTTACACATTTATTAATAAAATCAAGCAAATATACACACACACAAACTCCTCCAGAAGAATGTTATCTAAAATGAGCCCAAATAAAATGGAAGCAATCCTTGCTAATAGAGAAACTTGCTTGTTTTAGTCCTTACCCAGAAAGTTTTACAATCTGGATTAGCTTCCAAAATCCTGGACTAAACACCAGTGGCAGGAAAAAGTGTTTCATTTTATCTGTGTGTGGTGTATTATCAAAAGTGTCTTTGAGGAGGTAAGACTATTTATTTGCTGAACTTTCCAGCTAGATTACTGGAATGTCATCTATAGAAGATTATGTGGAAAGGTCCCTGGAAAGCTGCAGAGAGCACAGACTGAAATAAACATTATTTTACCATCCTCAAGACTGACATCTGGTTGAATTTCAAGGTATAGCAACAGATAAAGCATCCTGTAACTGTGAAAATGACCATGGATAGTGCTGCCAATTTTTTTTTTTTTTAATAAAGTGAAGAGGAGACCACATTTACTATCTAATGCTATGGAAGAAGTAAGAGGTATTAAAACAACCATAAGGCAGTGTTCTTCAAGCAATGCAAGCTGTAACATTCTGGAACACAATACTATGGATGCTAAAATGTAAACAGACCCATGTAACAAAGGGACACATTAATAGAATAAAAATCTATGGCACTATGGCAGGTCACAAATTACAGAAGAATCCTTGAATTTCCAACAGATGGAAAATGCAGGGGCATTTGGAAAAGTACCACGACATAGTCTTGGCCACTTCTCCTTTTCTGGGCATTTGATTTTCCCAGCTTTTGGAGACAGAATTATAAGACAGAAGGACTTTTTCTCTTACCCAATACAGTCATAACAGCACAATGGAACACAGAGGAATCCCGGTATTCTCTCACTTTTAGATTTTTATCACCTGCTCCCTATACCATGCATGTACCCTACAGTACAGTGTATGCATCTGTTGCTGTCAATTCTAGAAAGTTTTGATACTATGATCACAATCATGGAATTAGAAAAGCTGGTGACTCCTTATCCCCAGGTAATTGTTCATTTCTCTATTTCCTTAGGATGCAAAATCCTGTGGGAGGAAAAAGACAAAAGTCCTTTTTCTTTCACTCAATGATGTGGCCTAAAAAGACCACATAAAAAACTCCAAGCTGGAAAAGAAAAAGGCAAAAAACAGGAACACAGGCAGAATAGGAGAATAAAAACCAGAGAAAATAACAGAATATAATGCAGGATCAATAGAATTAAAGAGTGACTTGGTGGAGGAAATAGTTTAAGCAACCGTGCATGTTTCTTCAAATGAAACACGACGAAAAACATTTTGTTTTCCTCAAAAAATTATTCCACTATTGCGGGTTTTGCAGCTGTTAAGCAGCAATGTTACACATACACAAATCATCTCTCTCTCCTTTTCACTCCATTAACTAAATGCAAGGACACAAACAAAGATACTATCATCCTGATTTTACAATCTTCTTCTCAGAACAATTATCTACTGGATGTATATAATTATATTGCCTACAGAAAAATAAATACCTGCTGCAATCAGGTATTCAAATTCTCTACTCAGAGTAATTCCTCAAAAACAATTATCTTAATTAATACCAGTTTGAATGAAGCTAGGGGTGACCTAATGCAGCCTTCTAATACCTCCATGGAACCTACAAGAAAGATGGAGAGGAAAAAGAACATGTAGTAATGGAACAAGGGGGAAAGGCTTCAAACTGAAAGAGAGTAGATATAGATTAGATATTAGGAAGAAAATCTTTACTGTGAGGGTGGTGAGGCACTGGAACAGGTTGCCCACAGAGGCTGTGGGTGCCCCATCCCTGGAAGTGTTCAAGCCAGGTTGGATGGGGCTCTGAGAAACCTGGTCTAGTGAAAGGTGTGCCTTACTATGGCAGAGGGGTCGGAATAAGATGATTTTTAAGGTCCCTTCCAGCCCAAAATCTCATTACAATCTTGTGCACTACTTCTTTAGCAGAAACAGACATTCATTCATAATGTCTCTTCAGCAAAAATACAAAAGTGAACAATGTCTCATAACTCTATACTGTTGTATTTGCAGGGATCCCTGACGAAGGAAGGAATGATGAATCTGACTCCATGTTCTCAGAAGGCTAATTTATTATTTTATGATACTATATTATATTAAAGAATACTAAACTATACTATACTAAAGAATACAGAAAGGATACTTAGAGAATGCTAAAAGGCTAATAGTGAAAACTCGTGACTCTCTCCAGAGTCCCAACACAGCTTGGCACTGATTGGCCATTGAGTCAAAACAATTCACACCAGAAACTAATAAAACAATCCCCAAATAAATTCCACATGTGAGCACAACACAGGAGAAGCAAATGAGATAAGAATTGTTTCCCTTTTCCCCTGAGGCTTCTCAGCTTCGCATGAGAAAAATTCTGGGTGCAGGGATTTTTCAGAAAATGTGAATGTGACACTATACTGTAATTTACATAGTTTTGTTGTATAAACATTAGAAGCATTAGATTCACTGCTGCTTTTGAAAGCATCTTACAATTCAAATTAACAGGAAAATAACTTCAGGGCTCTTTTGAGTGCTCTACATTAATCTAAAGCAGATTATTGTGTTACTTTACTTCTCATTCAAGCTACTGGGTTTTCTTCTGATATGGGTTTAACACCAACAGTTATGCTGGCTGGTCAAAGCTAACAAAATAACATTATAAACAGTGTCAGTTGAGAGAGAGAGAAAAGCAGAGCTGAAATTTTTCTGTGAGTAGGGATAAGAATAACAGCCCTCAGGAAGGTTTCTATGATTTCTTCCCCCCAGAACTGGTTACATGTGGAGTGAATGACTGATAATGCCTCCTGCTCGCTCCCTTACATGATCATAGCTCATTAAACCTGTGAAACCAGTTCAACCACCTATCTTAAATCTCAAAATTTAAATTCTTACAACTATTATTAGGGTAGCTGATTTCCTCATCTACTGAGTATTCACTTGTCACTTGTGTAAACAGGTATCAATCTGAAGGACATCAGCCTTCAGACCTGCATATTTTTCTCAGTGACTCAGAGAATGAATGACTCAGTCATTTTACATTCAGATGTTTTTACTATAATGGCATGGCTTGGATTTTCAGTACAATCAGTACATCTGTGTTCACATCAGGGATGCATTTCGTAATAGATTCCCCACAGTGGTATTGTACACTCTATTAGCCCGTGGAGCTAAATTTTAGACAAAGAGATAATTAGCCATGACACACTGACCAATATGTATCCTCAAGATAATTCTAACCAATAAATATTTTTCAGGAGAATTGTTAACTGCTCCCAGGACAAATGCTCTGGATTCCAACTACAACATGACTCAAGCATATTTTCTCCAACAGGGCTTGGAACTATGGCATTCAAGGATTTTTTGGAGGAGTGATAATCTTAAATTCAGAAAATGTGGAGGATATGGAGTTTTTAGCCAAATTCAGACAAAAATAAACAAGAGAAATCAAGAGAAACCTTTGTTTGGGATTGGGTGACACTACAAGAATCTGTGAAACAAGTAGTCACAGTAGTCAGACCTTAATTTTGATAAACACAGGATATAACTAAAGATGCAAAAGAGAAATACGTGACACAAAACAAATTATATGCAAGGCATATGTGGGCAGGGAACAATTCCCTGCATGTAACCTGGAGGCACCAAACCCCAAAAGAAACCACAGAGTTGAGAAACAAACAGTCATAAACCGAGGACATGCTCTTGAAATTTCCAGGAACTGGAGACTGAGAAGAGTGTGAAAAGCAGTTTTTGCTGAGCACTAGATGAAAAGGGATTAGAGCAGAGACTCAGCCTCAGCTGTTGGTTCTACAGTGGTCAGAGAAGTAAATTCTCTCAAATATACAAACTGCAGAAATAAATATTCATGAACAGTATGGTTATTTCTGTAGGAGAAGCAGATTAGTGAACCCAAATTCTTACCTTTTTCAGTCACAGAGGAATCACACTAGAACCATTCTTTTAAATAAAAATAAAGGTCAAAATATTCTCCTAGTCATAGAATCATAGAATGGTAGAAGGGCTTGGGTCAGAAGGGACCTTAAAAATCATCTTATTCTGACCCCTCTGCCATAGTAAGGCACACCTTTCACTAGACCAGGTTTCTCAGAGCCCCATCCAACCTGGCTTGAACACTTCCAGGGATGCGGCACCCACAGCCTCTGTGGGCAACCTGTTCCAGTGCCTCACCACCCTCACAGTAAAGATTTTCTTCCTAATATCTAATCTAAACCTACTCTCAGTTTGAAGCCTTTCCCCCTTGTTCCATTACTACAGGTAAAGAGTCAGTCTCCATCTTTCTTGTAGGCTCCCTGCAGGTCCTGGAAGACAGCTCAATTAGTCTCCCATTCTACATGAAAACCATTCATATCCAAGCATCAGGCACAATGAAAAATTTGATTTTAAAACCCCCCTTTGTTTTATACAACAGGATGTCAGAACTGACAAGAAGTAGGACAATAAGGGACTCCACAGTCTGTCAGGTAGGAGCAGAAAATCTCACAATTGGCTCTACATTTTTTCCCCAGGTGAGAAAAAGCAAGCTTCCAGTGTGTACTTACCTGTCATTTCTGCAGTTCACTACCAGATGAATACCAATCCTGCCATACACATTATGGAATAATCATTAACCAGACACTATTCCTAACAGCTCCTGCTCTAGCAGTACTTAATATATTATTTTAGCCAGAGGCTATTCTGAAACTTGAAAGTTTTTTAATTGACAAAATCTCTTCTGGCTTAATCTAAACTCAGCTCTCTAGATTTGGTGGGGCTTTTGAACACTCTGACAAGGTGTAACAAACAATGGTTACAGCAACCCTGTGAGCTAAAAGGAGCTTTTAGTCCCACTTTACATAGGGAATTTGAGGCACGGAAAAAAAAAAATATACATTTTATATTTACTTGCTTACTGTTTCAATTTGGAGAGATCCATTAGACCTAATTTTTTCAGCATACGTATCATATATTTTTATCATACAGTCAAGACACTGGTCCCAGCAGCTTTCACTACAGCAACAAAATTCCACAGGACTCTATAATAAAAATTTGTGGACAGTGTTCAATTTAACTGGGAATCATTCAACTTTAACAAGACACATTGCTTTGGGTCTTTCCCTATCTCAGCCAGTACAAATTTCCCACAGATGAAGGTAGGTATGGACAACAGCCTCCTTTACTTCATGAGTCTTCAAAAATATGCCTTTAGAGCTGGAGACAATCCAACTGGTAAAAGACTTGGTCTAACAATTTTAGGCTAAATCATTATGTATACTCAGGAACTGCAAGGAGGTAGCCCAGGATACATAATCTATTCTAATTGTACCATCAACTAACATTCAAAGAAACTATGTATAAGCTCCCTGATCTTTTAAGGTAGTTTTAAAGAATAAATTCTCATGAGTTTTTAATTAAAAAATTGAAAAACAGTTTTCATCATACCATTTCTTCTTGTTTGTTGTCACACGGAAGTCATTAACAAGGCTAGAATCCACAGATAGACTGTACAAGCCTCAGTCTCTTCATCTCACAGAGTGCCTATCAACAGCAAAGTCTCAGATGCCAGCAAGAGAACTCCAGCAATGGGGTCAGTGAGAAAAAAGTCAGGCTCACTGCTCTCAGGTGTGATCTCACCTCTAGATTTGGATCTAGAGAACACAGCAGCACCTCTGAGGAGATGGAAATGCCTTGTTTTTAGAGACTGGCTGAAAAGCTGCCCAGTGGAAAATGAGCAGGGAATGCTGGTCTACAGCTGGCTGAACATGAGCCAGCAGTGCCCAGGTGGCCAAGAGGGCCAGTGGCACCCTGGCCTGTGTCAGCAATTGTGTGGCCAGCAGGAGCAGGGCAGTGACTGCCCCCAGCTGTACTTGGCACTGGTGAAGCCACAGCTGGAATCCTGTGTTTACTTTGGCCCTGCAGTACAAGAAAGACATTTTGGTGCTGGAGGAGCATGTCTAGAGAAGGGCAACAGAGCTGGGGAAGGGTCTACAGAGCGCAAATTTTATGAGGAGTGGTGAGGGATCTGGGGTTATTTGGCCTGTGGAAAAAAATGCTCAGGGGAGACCTGATCACTCTCTTACAACTGCCAGAAAGGAGGTTGTATAAAGGTGGCAGTGTCTTCCCCCACGGAACAAGCAATATGACAGGAGAAAAAAGCCTCAAGGAGAACCAGGAGAGGTTCAGATTGGATATTAGGAAAAAAAATCTTCATGGGAAGGCTGGTCAGTCATTGGAACAGACTTCCCAGGTAAGTGGTGTAGTCATCATCCCTGCAGGTATCTAAAAGATGCACAGACATGACACTTAGGGACATGGTTTAGTGGTGGATTTGGCACTGCTGAGTTAACAGCTGGACTGGATGACCTCCAATATCTTTTTTGAGATAAAAAATGATTCTATGACTTTATGTGTGGGCATATAAAGACCATGCTTTTTTTACCTCTTGATCAGTTTTGGGCTCATTTTTACAGCAAGGAAAAAGGAGACACACTTGAAATTTGGCCTGTGTATCAGGTTTCTACTCCAAATAACAAACCTGTATTTATTAGGGCTAGCAAACAAAAAGTCAGCATGTCATATTACTTTCCTCCAACCTTCTTTCCCTGAAACAGCTCAGAATTTTTGATGTAAAATAAAAAGGCCTTAAATCAACACAAGTCTGGAAAAAATAAGCCTGAACAATTAAAGCACTGCAAACTATAATCAAATGACAACCAGACTTTGTTACAGTAATAAGATGGAACAATAAATAATACTTTCACCCCAGAGCTTTTCCTACACAGGAAGAAAATAAATTATTAAATGAAAACTCATAAACACAGTGTAACAGTTAAGAATGGAAACATACACTGCTTTCCTTTTTCTTGGTGTGGTGAGAAGCATACCCTTGTAGTGGTGTCATTCTCAGTTTTGTTCTGGAATTGAGAGCACTTCAAGAAGTCTGGCCAAGAAGCATTCACCATACCCAACACTGGTTCACAGCCTTCTTTTGCTGCCTCACAAAACGTCCTGCAGGGCAAGAGGCCTCGACTAAAGAAAAGAGGCAGAGAGCAAAATTAAAAATTATTATTACTTTAGCAGGTTGTGAAAACTTTTTAGAAAGAGCAAAAAATAAGTGCTTTTGAAAAATTTTGCGCTCTACAGAGCTACACTCATACCCTTACAGTAATTAAATTTTCAACCCAGCTTTCTTGCAGTTTATGTCTAAATTACTGCAGAACCTCTTAGGCTTTAGCAAATGAAATTTTGCTTTATTCATAACCACTCACAATGCCACAGAACGATGTTTTTCCTGGTACACCACAGGTATCTTTCTCTTTACATCTGACTCTCAGTTGTACCTGCCCATCTCAAAACCATGGCTAGAATTCCATATTCAGTCACAAGTAAGTGGCCTGAACTGAAGAATTCTACAGTACCCAAAAATTTACCAACTTAGTGTTTCATTTTACAGTAACAAAGAATAACATAGTACTTTTAGCAACTGTGTGACATGGCAGCAACCACAAGAAATAAATTAAAAAGCTGCCAGAGCTGCCTCACCACAATGTTAACTACGAGATTGATGTAAAGCAAAATATTCACTTGCGTAAGTATTCTGAAGTCAGTATGGTTGTCTTTCTCTGCTTAGTATCTAAAAAGACAAGTGTGCTGCCAGCGTTTTTGCTGAGTTCATTACATACTCTGGGTGGAACCACTTTTTTAGAAAAGGTGTTTTTAGAGGTACATTCTCCAGGTAATGCTAAGGACTTTTACACAATGCACTTCACATGCTGCAGTACTGAACTTATCTCAGAAACAAGTCAAGGAATTTATCTCTAAAATTGTCTCTTTCAGCTTCCTGGGTGGCAGATTATTGTTGCCTGTAAAGAACAATGTATCTCCTAAAACAGCCCTTTTCACCACCACATTTTTTTTATTGTGATCTGTTGAAAGACAGAAAATTTTTGCACCAAAGATCACCTATATGGCTGTGTAGAAAACCAAGAATGGTTTCATCTGAGGACAGAAGAGTTGTCACTTATTAGTTCTGCACATTGTACTGGCAAACTAAGTTCCTCTGACTTGTAAAGGCTCTTCAGATAAAGATGTTGAAACACTCTTCTGCTTTTTACAGACCTATTCTATATGGAGAGAAAGAAAGGGCACAAGAACTCTTGAGCAGCCATCACTGCCTCCTGTCTGGAGCCTGAGAAACTCCTTAAGTAAATGGGATTTGACAGGGCAAGTGACTGTCTCCAGACATTTTTAAGTTTTTCCTTCTTAGCTAATATACTAATAACACTTCTGGTTTGACAGAGGCTCCCTACTACAGAAAAATGCCAAAAGAAATGCTGCTACTTATTACAGAAGGCACTTGAGTTTCAAAATATCTGTAAGAAATAAGATGTCACAAAGCTAAAATGGAGTATTGATTTGACTTGTTGGTGATAATCCTGTATTTTATTCAATCTGACATGCTTAATTTAACTTTCTGTTCATTTTTTTACAAAAGCACAAAATATGCTACAAAACTGTATTACAGTGCAAAGTATTGTAAGCAGTGATTCTACCTCATTTACTGGTGCCATGGAGCACACCTGATGATCACAAGTAGTAATCTGAAGGCATTACATTCTGCTAAATTTATTTTTTGTTCTCAAAAAAAGTGTTAGTAGGGGCATTACTTGAATGTAACAGGCCTCTGACAGAGATCTACTTATCACAGTTAATTAACTGTACACATGATTGATTTCTACCAATGGGAATGCTATTTGAAAAAAATCCCAACAAATAAACAAACAAAACATCAAGAGTTCTTGAGGACTCTCAGACAAAGTTTCATACATATGATCTCTGTTTTTTCCTGACCCATACCTAAATCATTAACTTTCAAAGCACCACACCTCAGCTATAGCCTGACATTTAGCAACCAGGCAATAGTAGTATGTGTATGTCAATATCTTAAAATGTAACTATAGCAAATTTCCATCTGTATGTTTCCTTGTTTCCAAAGGTCTTTCAACATACTGAACATTCATTTAAATCAAAATTTAAAAAATAATATTAAAAAGTTATATTAAAATATAACTATGCAGAGTTATACTTACACATAATTGTTAAAAAGCTTCTAAAAATGTCAGGAGTAATTTTTTTCAGAAGATCTATCTGCACATTGAATTTTTTTACATCTGTATCAGGAAAAACCCAAAAATACAAAAAGTTCACCTTGTTTATTTGTATGGTATTGGATTTGCATGGCAAAGTTCTTGTAGTGGGAGGGATACAGGGGTGGCTCCTGTGACAAGCTGCCAGAAGTTTCTCCTGTGTCTGACAGAGCCAACTCCAGTCAGATGCAAGACAGACGCACCACTGGCCAAAGCTGAGCCCATCACTGATGGCTGTTGTGCCTCTGCAATATTTAAGGAGGCAGGGAAAAAAATCTGTGCAAGGCAACCGCAGCCAGGATAAAGGAGTGAGAATATGGGAGAGAAACAACTCTGTAGATACCAAGGTCAGTGCAGCAGGAGAGGCAAGAGTGCAGGCCCTGGAGGACCCCACTCTGGAACAGGTGGATGCCCAAAGGAAGCTGTGACCCTGTGGGACCCCCTACAGGAGCAGGTTTGCTGGCAGAACTTGTGACCCTGTGGTGAACCCACGCCGCAGCAGCCAGTTCCTGAAGGACTGCACACTGTGGGAGGGACCCACGCTGGAACAGTTCATGAAGAACAGGACCCCATGGTAAGGACCCACAATGGAGAAGTTCATGGAGGACTGTGTCCCAGAGGAGGGACCCCATGGTGGAGCAGAGGAAGAGTGTGAGGAGTCCTTGTCCTGAGAAGGAAGGAGTGTCAGTGACAATGTCTGATGAACTGACCGCAGCCCACACTTGCCATCCCCCAGCACCCCTGAGGGGACAGCAGGCAGGGAATTCATGACCAAAATCAGGAAGAAGAGAGGGATGTGAGGAAGGTGTTTTTAGATTTGGGGTTTCTTTTCTCATTGCCCTGCTCTGATTTGATTGGCAGTGAATTAAATTACTTTCCCCACGTTGAGTCTGTTTGCCTATGACAGTAGCTGGCGAGTGGTCTCTCCTTGTCCGTATCTCAATCCGTGAGACTTGTTCTATTTTCTCTCCGCGGTCCAGCTGAGGAGGGGAGTAACAGAGCAGCTTGGGAGAGCACCTGGTGACCAGCCAGGGTTAACCTACCACAGACATGCACAGAACAGTTGGAATTTCGTAACAGAATTGGCACATGGACTGGTAATTTGGAAATTACTGGTCTTTTAAAAGACAACTACATGGTGATCTAAAAACCAAGTAGAATTTGTAGTCCCTAGAGAAGCTCTGACAAATCAGAAAACATGGGATTATCTGGCGATTACTGCAATATTTGGCCCACTTTCAATGTTGAGTCATGTGTGCCCCATAAATTAAATATTTCTGGATAATGATCAAGTTTAGTATGAACTTATCGCTTAATTTTCTGGAGGATGAAAATATTATTAATAGTCTTTATCTTGATTAGTCTTATTTACAGCTACTCAGAGACCAATCATTTTAAAAATAAACTGGCAGGTCTATGGCAGTCTTACCATAATTGATTTGGCACCAGTGGCAGGCACAGAAGCAGGTTGCAACATATTAGCATATGATTCTGCTCTTCAGGATATTAATAGAAAACCTCCTGAAATTGGAATTTGATGAACGAAAGAAAATATGACATATTTTTATCTCTGTGGTTGGTTTCCCCAGACTCCAAACCCACACTTCAGTAAATTCAGCTGCACAGAAATACCAATATTAAGAAATGTACGGAATAAAAAAATAGGAATCTTCTTTATCATTTATTTTAAAAAAATATTAAAGGTAGAGAGAATATGTAAGGGATTTAAATTAGCATAAGGCAACTTTGAAGAAGCTATCAGAAGTTTTGTATTAAATACTCATTGAAGCACATATATTCAAAACAGTATATATTCAAATCACTCTGTTAAGTGATTTTAAGTTTCCAATGAGATTAAATACCGCCTGAAAGCAGAAGATCTGACTTCCTTGTCATGATGATCACCTAGCGTTCACTTACGTTGGAACTCAGATTACCTGATTACAATCCTACAGGGACCTACTCCTTATAACTTGGAGATATTTTACATTTTTAGACAAATTTTTTTCAGAATTTACTCCTTCTCTTCTTTGCAATCACATTACCATGCACAGAGATCCTCAGTAGACTCCGTTTCTTAAGTGTTGTTTTGAGTACTAGAAGATATCAAAGAAATAATACTCCAAGAAGCAGTAAGGAGAGGGAAGATCCTCATGGTGACTGTTTTCCTCTTGCTGCAGAATTTACCACATTTTGGTAAAGCTCAAGATTGAAGTTAGCTAAAGGTCTGACTCCCAGTTATAACTTGGAGATATTTTACATTTTTAGACAAATTTTTTTCAGAATTTACTCCTTCTCTTCTTTGCAATCACATTACCATGCACAGAGATCCTCAGTAGACTCCGTTTCTTAAGTGTTGTTTTGAGTACTAGAAGATATCAAAGAAATAATACTCCAAGAAGCAGTAAGGAGAGGGAAGATCCTCATGGTGACTGTTTTCCTCTTGCTGCAGAATTTACCACATTTTCTAAGGTTAGCTCAAGATTCAAGTTAGCTAAAGGTCTGACTCCCATCCTCAGCAGACATTGAGGGCATGTCTTTCCTGGAAGCAGCAGCACTGTATGCAGCTTGGTTCCCAAATGCCTGGATGTGGTTCCGTGCTACTTTCAGTTTTGCTGCTTGTAAAAGCTGTTTTTAGGCTGTAAGTAAGAGGTCAAACAACTCATTCAACTGAAGAGTAATGTGATGCAAAGAAAAGCACCTTTTTCTCATCTGGCAATTGACTGGACCCTCCAAAAGGATACAGGCAAAGACAGAATAAGATGTTATGAGAGGGAGAAGTAGAAATTGCTTGAGCTGACAAAAGCATTAAATTAAATAAAATTAAAAATTAACCATCCTGCAGAAGCTCCCCATGCAACCTGGTAAATACAATAATATATC